TGAACTCTCTCAGCTTTTGCTTGTCTGTAAAGGTTTTAATTTCTCCATCAAATCTGAATGAGATCCTTGCTGGGTAGAGTAATCTTGGTTGCAGGTTTTTCTCCTTCATCACTTTAAATATGTCCTGCCAGTCCCTTCTGGCTTGCAGAGTTTCTGCTGAAAGATCAGCTGTTAACCTTATGGGGATTCCCTTGTGTGTTATTTGTTGTTTTTCTCTTGCTGCTTTTAATATGTTTTCTTTGTATTTAATTTTTGACAGTTTGATTAATATGTGTCTTGGCGTATTTCTCCTTGGATTTACCCTGTATGGGACTTTCTGTGCTTCCTGGTCTTGATTAACTATTTCCTTTCCCATATTAGGGAAGTTTTCAACTATAATCTCTTTAAATATTTTCTCAGTCCCTCTCCTTTTCTTTTCTTCTTTTGGAACACCTATAATTCGAATGTTGGTGCGTTTAATGTTGCCCCAGAGTTCTTTATTCTGCTCTGCAGTAGTTATTTCCACTATTTTATCTTCCAGGTCACTTATCCATTCTTCTGCCTCAGTTATTCTGCTATTGATCCCATCTAGAGTATTTTTAATTTCATTTATTGTGTTGTTCATCATTGTTTGTTTCATCTTTAGTTCTTCTAGGTCCTTGTTAAATGTTTCTTGCATTCTGTCTATTCTATTTCCAAGATTTTGGATCATCTTTACTATCATTATTCTGAATTCTTTTTCAGGTAGACTGCCTATTTCCTCTTCATTTGTTAGGTCTGGTGGGTTTTTATCTTGCTCCTTCAACTGCTATGTGTTTTTCTGTCTTATCATTTTGCTTATCTTACTGTGTTTGGGGTCTCCTTTTTGCTGGCTGCAGGTTCGTAGTTCCCATTGTTTTTGGTGTCTGTCCCCAGTAGCTAAGGTTGGTTCAGTGGGTTTTGTAGGCTTCCTGGTGGAGGGGACTAGTGCCTGTGTTGTGGTGGATGAGGCTGGATCTTGTCTTTCTGGTGGGCAGGTCCATGTCTGGTGGTGTGTTCTGGGCTGTCTGTGGACTTATTATGATTTTAGGCAGCCTCTCTGCTAATGGGTAGGGTTGTTTTCCTGTCTTGCCAGTTGTTTGGCATAGGATGTCCAGCACTGTAGCTTGATGGTCGTTGACTGAAGCTGGGTGCTGGTGTTGAGATGGAGATCTCTGGGAGATTTTCGCCATTTGATATTATGTGGGGCTGGGAGGTCTCTTCTTGACGAGTGTTCTGAAGTTGGCTCTCCCACCTCAGAGGCAGAGTCCTGATTCCTGGCTGGAGCAGCAAGAGCCTTTCATCCACTCGGCTCAGAATAAAAGGGAGAGAAAGTAGAGAGAATTAGTAGAAGTAGGAGGAAATAGGAAAGAAAGAAAGAAAGCAAGAAAGAAAGGAGGGAAGGAAGGAAGGAGGGAAGGAAGAAAGAAAGGAAAGAAAAGATAAAATATAATAAAATAAAGTAAGATAAAATAAAGTCGTTAAAATAAAAAATATTAAGAAAAAAAAATTTTTTAAAGAAAAAAAAATGGACGGGTAGAACCCTAGGACAAATGGTGGAAGCAAAGCTATACAGACAAAATCTCACACAGAAGGATACACATACACACTCACAAAAAGAGGAAAAGGGGAAAAAATAATAAATCTTGCTCTCAAAGTCCACCTCCTCAATTTGGGATGGTTAGTTGTCTATTCAGGTATTCCACAGATGCAGGGTACATCAACTTGATTGTTGAGCTTTAATCCACTGCTTCTGAGGCTGCTGGGAGAGATTTCCCTTTCTCTTCTTTGTTCGCACAGCTCCTGGGGCTCAGCTTTGGATTTGGCCCCGCCCCTGCGTGTAGGTCGCCGGAGGGCGTCTGTTCTTTACTCAGGACGGGGTTAAAGTAGCAGCTGCTTCGGAACTCTGGCTCACTCAGGCCAGCGGCGAGGGAGGGGTACGGAGTGCGGGGCGAGTCTGCGGCGGCAGAGGCCGGCGTGACGTTGCACCAGCCTGAGGCACGCCGTGCGTTCTCCCGGGGAAGTTGTCCCTGGATCCCAGGACCCTGGCAGGGGCGGGCTCCCCGGAAGGGGGGTGTGGATAGTGACCTGTGCTCGCACACAGGCTTCTTGGTGGCGGCAGCAGCAGCCTTAACGTCTCATGCCCGTCTCTGGGGTCCGCACTTTTAGCCGCGGCTCGTGCCCGTTTCTGGAGCTCCTTTAAGCAGCACTCCGAATCCCCTCTCCTCGCACACCAGGAAACAAAGAGGGAAGAAGTCTCTTGCCTCTTCAGCAGGTCCAGACTTTCCCCCGGACTCCCTCCCGGCTAGCCGTGGTGCACTAACCCCTGCAGGCTGTGTTCATGCAGCCAACCCCAGTCCTCTCCCTGCGATCCGACCGAAGCCCAAGCTTCAGCCATCCTGGCGGGTGAGCAGATAAGCCTCTCGGGCTGGTGAGTGCCGGTCGGCACCGATCCTCTGTGCGGGAATCTCTCCGCTTTGCCCTCCGCCGCCCTGTTGCTGCGCTCTCCTCCGCGGCTCTGAAGCTCCCCCTCCGCCTCCCGCAGTCTCCGCCCGCGAAGGGGCTTCCTAGTGTGTGGAAACCTTTCCTCCTTCACAGCTCCCTCCCACTGGTGCAGGTCCCATCCCTATCCTTTTGTCTCTGTTTATTCTTTTTTCTTTTGCCCTACCCAGGTGTGTGGGGACTTTCTTGCCTTTTGGGAGGTCTGAGGTCTTCTGCCAGCGTTCAGTAGGTGTTCTGTAGGAGCTGTTCCACGTGTAGATGTATTTCTGGTGTATCTGTGGGGAGGAAGGTGATCTCCTCATCTTACTCTTCTGCCATCTTCCCCTCCTCTCCTCCAAATCAGCTTTTTAGTTTTAAAACATTCTTTTAATTACAATAGTTTAATTGTAGAAATTTTAGAAAATGCAAATCAGCTTAAGAAAGAAAAGAAAAAAAATCACCTTCAACCCCACCATCTGCACAAATAACTACTACCATGTGTGTATATATCCTTGTTTTTTTCTATGCATAGAACCACCTTTATTTTTAATCTATAAAAAATGAATCTTTATCTTTTTTCATTTAAATATCTTTCTATATAAATACATACATTTTTATATACAAATATACACATTTATATATATATATAAATTTTTAATTGAGGTATAACTGACATGTAACATTATATTAAGTTCAGATGATTTGACAACATTATGATTTGATATCTGTATATACTGGGAAATGATCACCACAATAAGTCTATTTAACACCTGTTAACTTTTAAAATTTTACGTGGCTGCACAGTATTTCATTGTATGTATCATCACATAGGTACTTTACCTAAACTTTCCACTTATAGCATCCCCGACTGTTGATATTTAGGTTGTCCCCAATCGTTCAGTGTGAAAAGCCCTCTAAGGGGGTCCTCTCTTCCTATCTGATGTTGCCATAAAAGCTGCTCTGATACTTATTCCCTCAGAAAAGCCTTACATATAAAAGACCAAGTATACAACCTGGACAAAACTCAAAATCGATGCTGACTCGAGTTTTTCCACGTCAGGAAGCCCCTTATCACCATCTTCCCACTTCAGACCGCTCTACGTCCACCTCTAGGGGGCATCCTTCCTGCTCCAAACCACTGCTCCTTTAGGGGGTATCTGCACTTCACTCACAAAATCCTCCCATGTCTTTTGTCTTCTGTCACATACGACTTTCCCATTCCCATTCCCCCAGCGTGCATCCTGATTGTGTATGTGGAGGACGGGGGGAAACTTCCCAAACAATCCACAACCCCCAACTGGTATTTCAAAAACACACAGGCCTTTATTTTGACAATTAAATTCCTGTTACTGCAGAAACTGTGTCCAACTCTACATCCAGAGCTAGAAGCAACTAGGCTTGCAGCAGCTCTGTGATGTGGAAGACAATGCATATTTTTCCTCTGCCTCTGAAAGCATCATACACATCACAAGGGTTAATGGCCTAATTCTTTATTATCTTCCCTATCCACATTCATCACAAGACACCCTGCCCAGGAAGGCAAGAATGAGAGGTTATTGTTAAGACAGAATGAATGAGACAATGTGTGGCTCTGTTCTTCTGACCTGACAGTGTGACCCAGGCAGGGGGACTGCGGCCAGGGAAGGGTATGTGCTGGCCTCCACGCATCCCGGCACAGCTGCCCCTGTGTGCTGCGGGCAAACGAACCTGGCTCAGGGGCCTCCCTCTGACTCTCTCCCTCCGGAGCAGCAGCGGGAGAGATGAGGTCGAGGTGCTGCTGAGGGGACACGATCTCTCTCAGTGAGAACTGGAGCATTAGATCCAATTCCTGGCGTCTCTCTGCTACCTCAGGTACCCCTCAGACTAGAGTGATGATCGGTTTCTTCTTCAAATACAAACTATGAAGAGTGTCTAAGGATGAGAAGCCACACTGAGGACACCATCTGCACCAGCACTTTGGGAAGAATCCTAGTTGCTTCGATCTTTAACCAGAAGCTAAATCAGAAGCTTAGGAAAATGATGTCATGACATTTGTACACCAAGATGGCAACACATCCACTGCCATCAAGAGCCATACTGTCCCTCCCAGGCACTGGTGAGGAGGGACTTCTATGGAAGTGTTTACGGAAAGCAAAGGCATTTTTGTCCATTGGGTTGCCACGCGTTTCCCCACAGAAGCTATTCAAATGCATACTGTACTTTCTGGCAAAATCGTATTTCTCCAGAGTTGATGATGAAGACTTTTCTCAAAGACCAGAGCAAGAGCCAAAACAAAAGGCCACAGAAGAAACAGAATCCTTCTCTTGGGAGTTCAAAGTCTTATTCTACCCATGAGCATACAATGGGCTTCTGAAGTGGAAGAGTTTCAGGAAGTTACTGGAGGTCAGGAGAAGGGCAACGGTTTCTTTGTAGTGCTCTGTGTTTTTCATTCAAAATAAATAAAACAGAAACAAAACAAAAAGAACCCCAAAGTCAAAATACAATTTCAGAGAATACCCCAGGTTCCCCAAAGCCAGACTCACTCTGTCGCCACCATCTGGGGAATGGGCTCATCTAGGAGTTCCAAGCTGTGCAGGATCCAGTAGCAGAGCCATGGGCGGCTGGCATCCAGACACTGCAAAAGGAACAAGGCAGAAAACACACCCCTTATTCAGAATCATTCCAAGACCCTGCTGAAAAGGCAGCAGGGTCTCCAACTGTTCAGTGTGAAAAGGGAGACATCTGTCTCCCTCCTGGCAGCCTGGCAAGGAGGAGGAGGACAACCTCTGAACAGTGAATGAAGAACACTTTGCCTGGTGGCCTTAGCCAGGAGCTGAAATGACCATATGTGAGAAAAGGACAATGGGACAAAGGAGTTTAACCTGAACCCAATGGGTCCTTCCCTGACAAGCATCCAAAGAAGCCGAGCAGAGGACTTCTCACACGCCAGAAAGTTAAGTGCTACTATTTTCTCAGTGCAGACCCAAGAAGATACACAACCTCAGGATGGGATTTCCTGGAGTAACTCATTCAGTAAGTATCTCCTCATGCCAAGCTCTGGGGGTACAGTAATGAGTAAAATTCAGTTCTTACTCTTAAGATACTTTGTTTAGGATGTGTGAGGTTTTCTGTAGAGGAAGAGGGCAATTAGAAAGACATGTAAGTACAAGTGTCTTTCTGGAACAAGGCAGAACAAAACTAATGCATACATATACCTGGATAAACGCTATAATGGGCACATGGAAGAAACTGACTACCTCTGCCTGGGGAGCTGGGAAAGGTTTCCAAAGGTGACATGGGAGCAGGTCTTGATCCTAACTCAAGCCATAAATATTCAAGCATTCAAGGCTAGGCGGGCAGGCAGTATTACTGCCCCAGTTTTACAAATCCAAAGTGTATAAATGAGATCCAGAGAGAGGAACATTTTCCAGATTACAGAGAGTAAACATCAGAGATAAGACAAGACTGCCGGTTTCTAGACTCTCAGTCCAGTGCTCTTTCCATTGTCCCAAACTGCCCTCTTCATAAATGAGCACATAAATGTGCTAGCTCCCCACCTGGGGGCAGCTGGTATGGTGACAGAAGACACTGCTATGGGTTTCAGTGCCAGCTCCTCCTCTCACTAGCTATGTGCCTTTGAGCAAATACTTAATCTTGCTATGCCTATTTCCTTATCTATGAAGAAATAAAGACTTACCTACCCCCTGGAGTAGCTGTGAGGATTAAATGAGACAATGAACAGCAACCTTTTAGCGCACTTTTCAGTGAACTGTTAGCTGTCATGGTATTAATTGTATCAGGGTTGCCTGGACCCTAATCATTGAGGATTGAATACTGAAAGTCCACAGGCCAAACATAACCCAGGGATGTGTCCTGCTTGTTCCCTGTAGTGTTTTGTTTGTTTAATTAGAATTGGTTGTAACGTGTTGAGAGATCCACAGAGAAATCTGAATTTCTGGCTTCGTTTGAAAAAACAAGAAGAGATCTGGCAACCCTGGGTCTGCACTGCCGTTTGGCAGCAACTGGCAGGAACAGAGTAAAAGCATGGGTCCTCTGCTTTGCCTCAGTTCCACCCCGCACACCGTCCCCCAACCAAGCCCACATCTCTCGTTTATGCTACCCGCTTGGGTCTACAGGCCCAAATTCCTGCGGTAAATAATCAAATGTAGAACCCCCCAATAAAAGCAAATTAAAAGCAGAGCTGCTCTACGTAAAGTGGGGCAGGGAAACTGGCGGCCTCTGGTTCACATTTACCCTCTGGCTGCTACTCACCCCTATTCCCAACACCCCTCCCCTCCACCTCCGCTGCCCTCCCCTGAGCCCCTCTCTGGACCCCTAGGGCTCTAAGGTATATTGATTTAAGATCCACCCCACGTTTGGGCATTTTTACAGTGTTAAACCGCAGGACTACTCTCTGGGACTTACATACTGGTCCTTTGGCCAGTAGAGAAATTAGATCAGCTTACAGGGCCAAGGGGTGGGGATGAACAGGTATCTAGACCACCTTTTAGTGGTCAAGGGGTGTCTAGAAGAACACCATGTGAACCCCCCTCAGCCACGATAGGGGTGAAAGCCCCACCCCATCTGGGGCCTCCACTAGCTCTGAGGGAGGACGAGACTAGAGATCGGGTTCTGTCCTTTCGGAAGTAGGAGTCCCGGCTCTGTGGGGCAGAGCTGCTGCGGACCCTTCCCACCAGAGCCACACAGGACGGTGAGTGACTCTGTGACAGGGCAAGCCCATAGTGTCTTTTACATCCAAACAGTTAAAAAGGAGAAAGATCTGACTCATAATTTGATAGAGAAAGCTCCTGGGCAAGGTGTTTACCTCGTAGGCATCTGTCAGCTGTCGGAGGCCTCTCTTCAGATAATGGAAGTGCTTCTCCCTCTGCAAAATAAGCCTGGAAAGATAAAGAGCTTTGTAAACCTACTCTAACAGCCTCGGCTTCCCCCACTACAGAACACACGCACACACTCACTATCCCCCTACAGTCAATGAGTAGAAAACAGCAACTTCTTTAGCTAAACCAGAGAAGAGAGGCCAGCCTCTGAACGTCCCTAAAGTGTCTGGAAATGGCGCTGGCGAATGTTTGGGGCGGGGCTTCCCTGGTGGCGCAGTGGTAAAGAATCCGCCTTCCAATACAGGGGACACGGGTTCAAGCACTGGTCGGGGAGCTAGGATCCCACATGCCGCGGGCCAACTAAGCACGGGCGCCACAACTACCGAGCTCGCACGCCTCAATGAGAGACAGCCTGCGTGCTGCCAACTGTGGAGCCCATGCCCTCTGGACCCCAACAAAGAGCCCGTACGCTGCAACAAAAGATCCTGCATGCCTCAACGAAGATCCGGCGTGCCGCAACAAACACACGGCGCAGCCAAAAATTAATAAATAAATAAAATGTTAAAAAAATTAAAAATTAGGGCTTCCCTGGTGGCGCAGTGGTTGAGAGTCCGCCTGCCGATGCAGGGGACGCGGGTTCGTGCCCTGGTCCGGGAAGATCCCACATGCCACGGAGCACCTGGGCCCGTAAGCCATGGCCGCTGAGCCTACGCATCCGGAGCCTGTGCTCCGCAACGGGAGAGGCCACAATAGTGAGAGGCCCGCGTACCACAAAAAAAATTTAAAAACAAAATATTCGTGCAGACAAAAAATAAATAAAATGTTAAAAACAAACTCTCCTTCGTGGCCGGTAGCTTTGGGCTAGAAATGCCACTGTGAGCACACTTAGCCAGGCAGTAACAAACCACCCAGAAAGTTCCTCCAGGGTCTAGCTGAGAACAGATACCTTGCGGCTCCCCATCCTGCAAGCAATTTAAATCAGAGCCTCGCCACTTCCCTGATTTGGTTAGCCTCTGTCGTTCTGGTCATTTCTTCTGGGGTCACTTCTCTGAAGTCTGTGGTTTGTACTCTGCCTGCCCCTCACTCATCCGTCTAGTATTCCCTCCCCGAAATTCCACCTCCCACGTGCTGACCCACAGCCCTGGCCTGAGGATCATGTCTGTATTCTGCAGCCAGTCGCTCTCCTCGGCCCTGATGTCAGCAACACTGGCTCTAAGATGGACTGTGCTGGCCATGGCCACCTGCACAGGCAGGCAGAGGACAGGGGCTGCACTTCTCGCTGGGTCTTACAGAAGGAGTCTGTGTGATTACAGAAGGAAAGAAAAAAGTAAAGAATTTAAGACATTCACTGTGCTTGCTGATTCCAGAAATAAAATGAAAGAAGAACCAGTCTCTTTCCTAGGTATTCAATTCAACAATTGTTTATTGAACTCCCACTGTACTGTGCTGAGAAAAAGTAGTCTTTACTTCAAAAAGTCTAGTTCAGTACTGGAAGTGAGATAAGGACATAAGCGGTTACAATATGAGGAGAACTGGGTAGGTTTCATAAAGGGAAAACAGATAAAATACTAGAGGCTCTAAAGGGTTTGGGTGAGGGCATCTCATTCAGAAAACAACGATCAGGGAAGGTTGTGCGAACAGGTGGAATTTGAGGTAGGGGCCCTGGAAGAAGGAGAATATTTTAACAGGCAGAGGAGGTGAGGAGTTGGTGGGAGGAGTTTAGCCAGAAGGAACAAAAACAAAAGGAACCGACCAGAACTTCCAGTGATGATGGAAGTGTCTTTGTCTGTGCTGTCCAATAGGTAGCCACGAGCCACATGTGCATACTGAGCACTTGAAATGTGGCTAGTGTGACTGAGCAACTGAATTTTAAACTTTATTTAATTTTAATTAATTTACGTTTAAACAGGTACAAGTGGCTAACGGCTACTATATCATGCAGACAGGTATAAAGCGTGCAGAGGGAGTGCAGGTCGGGGATTTGGCCTGGCTATTAGGAATGAAAGAGGAGTGGTCAAGAAGGCCGCTGAGGCCCTTTTTACAGGGATCTGGGATGCCAGCTGAGGAATTTAACTCAACTTAATACGCAAAGGGAATTTGCGACAACATGGATGGAACTTGAGGACATTATGCTACGTGAAATAAGTCAGATAGTAAAAGATAAATACTGCACCATCTCACTCATATGTGGCACTCTAGGGCTTCCACCAAAAAAACAAAAACAAAAGCCCTGAGCTTGTGGATACAGAAAACAGATTGCTGGTTGCCTGAAGTGAGAAGTGGAGGGGGAGGGCAGTGAAATGGGTGAAGGGGGTCAAAAGGTACAAACCTCCAGTTATAAAATAAATAAGTCATGAAAATGTAATGTACAGCACAGCGATATATTTAATAATACTATACTGCATATTTAAAAGTAGCTAGGAGAGTGGATCTCAAAAGTTCTCAACACAAGAAAAAGAATTTATCACTATATATGGTGCTGAATGTTAACTGGACTTACTGTGGTGACCATTTTGCAATACATACAAATATTGAATCATTACGTTGCACACCTGAAATGAATATAATGTTATGTCAGTTATACCTCAATTTAAAAAAATTGGCAAAGGAAAACCCTGAGGGTTTTCAGCTGAGAAAAAATGACCAGAATTGTGCTTTAGAAAAATTATCTGACCACAGTAGGTATTCAATATGTGTTTATAAACTGTACTGATGAAAGCAGTAAGTGGGGAGAGAGATGAGGTGGGAAGACAGGGTAAGATGCTATTAAGAGTCAACCAGGTGGGAAGAACTTAGAGTTCTGAGGGCTCCACCTAGCACGGTGCCCAAGACAAGCTGACTGTGGACAGGTGGACTCTAAAGCACTGGAAGTGTATTCAGGTGGGGATGTCAGTCACATTGCTGGAAACACATGTGAGACTCTGGAGAGGGATCCAGGTGACACAGATGAACTGGGAATCATTTATCTGGAAGCAGGTGACAGGTGAAGCTGCAGGAGTAGAGGACAGAGCAGAGAGAAAAGTTTGAAGGCAGAACTGAGGGAAGACCCATCTTTAAGGGCTTGAAGGACCAGGAGCCACAGGAGAGAAGTAAAGAGCAGTACACAAGCAGAGGAAGGACAAAGGGAGTGTCGCCTCACAGGCAGAGAAGGAGGAGAGAATTTCACGGAGGTTTTTTTTTTTTTTTTTTTTTTTTGGTACTTC